GTGTGTGTATATGTGTGTGTATGTGTGTGTGTCTGTGTGTGTTTCTCTGTGTGTGTGTGTATATGTGTGTGTATGTGTGTGTTTCTCTGTGTATGTGTGTGTGTCTGTGTGTATGTGTGTGTCTGTGTGTGTCTGTGTGTGTTTCTCTCTGTGTGTGTATGTGTGTGTTTCTCTGTGTATGTGTGTGTGTGTATGTGTGTGTATTGTGAGTCTGTGTGTGTCTGTGTGTGTGTGTGTCTGTGTGTGTGTCTCTGTGTGTTTCTCTGTGTGTGTATGTGTGTGTATTGTGAGTCTGTGTGTGTCTGTGTGTGTTTCTCTCTGTGTGTGTATGTGTGTGTATTGTGAGTCTGTGTGTGTCTGTGTGTGTTTCTCTCTGTGTGTGTATGTGTGTGTATTGTGAGTCTGTGTGTGTCTGTGTGTGTTTCTCTCTGTGTGTGTATGTGTGTGTATGTGTGTGTTTCTCTGTGTGTGTGTATGTGTCTGTGTGTGTGTATGTGTGTATGTGTGTGTGTGTGTATGTGTGTCTGTGTGCTTCTCTGTGTGTATGTGCATGTGTGTGTGTGTGTGTGTGTGTCTGTGTTTCTCTCTGTGTGTGTTTCTCTGTGTGTGTGTGTGTCTATAAGATTGGGGCTGGTATAAAGAGGTGAGGAACAGAATGGTTCTTCCTGGATGTGGCTGTGCACGTCACCCCTTCCCTGCTGCTGGTCCCTGCCGGCAGTCCCCATTATTCACACAGTGATGTCTACTTTCTGTATTTTGGAATGGTAGTGTTATGTATCTTTATCACAGTAATTCTCAATCTGTGGGTTGAAACCCCTTTGGAGGTTGGACAACCCTTTCACAGGGGTCGAAATAGTAATGAAAATAATTTTATGTTTGAGGGTCACCACAACATGAGAAACTATATTGAAGGGTCGAAGCATTAGGAAGGTTGAGAACCACTGGTTTATTGGGTCTGACCTGTGCCTGCTGGTTTTTTTTATGGTCCTCAGGAGGACCTACAATAGGATGACACTTTGAGTTTTGGATGAGTTTGTGAGGTATATAGCAAACCAAAGACATCATTGAACTTGGGGCTGACAAACATCCAGTAGAAATTGAGAAAGCCCCGTGAGGCACCCAGCTGGAGCTCCCAACAGAGTCCCAGGCTGAGCAGAGTGTCCCCTCTGGTGAGGTTGCCAAGTCAAAGGACAAACAGCAACCATAGAGATGACATCGTCAAATCTGACACAACATCTAGCAGAAACTAATTGGGGAAGCTGGGGCAGGCAGCTGGGTTCCTGATTGAGTTTTCTCTCCATGGATGAACTTCCGGCTTGTGTTTTATGTCAACTTGGCACAAGCTGGAGTCATCAGAGGAGGGGACTTCAATTAAGAAAATGCCTCCATAGGGCTGTAGGTAAACCTGTAGGACATTTTTAAATTAGTGATTGATGGAGAAGGGCCCAAACCATAGATCCTTGAGTTCTATAAGCAAGCAGACTGGGCAAGCCATGGGGAGCAAGCCAGTAAGCAGCACCCTCCATGGCCTCTGCATCAGCTCCTGCCTCCAGGTTCCTGCCCTGTTTGAGCTCCTGTCCTGACTTCCTTCAGTGATGAACAATTAAATGGAAATGTAAGCCAAATAAACCCTCTCCTCCCCATGTTGCTTTGGTCATAGGGTTTCATCACAGCAACAGTAACCCTAAGACCCCACTTCTCTTCCCCTGGGGACTTTTACACCATGGGGTAAATAGTAGCAACTTTTGTGGGAATAGTTTCCCTTCTAGCTCATTTTCAGGGTACAGTGACTTCCCTCTTGGGCTGTTTTGCTGTTCTCATGCCAGGACCCTGTGGATGGACTAGATGGTGAGGCTGTCACTGGATCCCTTTGTCCCCTTCCTAATATGGCCACATAGAGTGAATCTCCTTTTCTCAAAATTTTACTATTTGTTTTTCTTTTTTGATTTTTCTAGACAGTGTTTGTGTCTCCCTGGCTGCCCTGGAACTCACTCTGTAGACCAGGCTGGCCTAGAATTTAGAGACCTGTCTGCCTCTGTCTCCTGAAGTGCTGGGATTAAAGGCATGTGCTACCACGGCCCAGCTAATTTATCTTTTTAGAAGGTTTATTGAAGGTGGCTGTCTAGGGTTGAGAGGGCAGAGAGTCTGCCCCTGGTAAATCCACTAACAGTATCACCAACAGACAGGAACAAAGGAGGAGCTGGGAGTGTTCCTCCGGCTCTACACTCCAGGACTGTGGAAAGGGGAGCAGAAGTGGGGAATGGGGGAAGGGTGAGTCTCCGGTGCTAATCCCAGCTTCCTGCCTGGATTGTTTTAACTGCTGCTGAGGCCTGTCTTCGGATGTCACAGCTGCGGAAACAGATCTCCCCTCTTCACCTGTTCCTAAGCAATAGACGCTTCTCTAACTTCCTGTCAGAAGAACATGCTGTGGAAACACAAGAAGGTGCTGGGGACTCGAGGACTGAATGCCCACCTTCCCCTCTGCTGAGGGCGCAGTGAGCAGTTCAGCTTTTGAAGAATTGAGCGAATCAGTGGGGGGGACAGAATGACATACATAAAGAGCCCCAGGCATTCAGGGCCAGAGCAACAGACTGCTCTGTGAATTTGCCCAGTGTCTGCCTGGTCCAGCTCCAGAAACTACTGGGTCATTAGGACTCCCTTCTCCTAAGAATGACAGAGAGTGAATCCTCTGCCCTGGTTACCTGCCTCACACACTCATGCCAGGTCCTATAAAAGTTTCTATTCCTGTGGGACCAGGGAACCAAGTCACCCTAGCTTCTTACTCAACAAGCATGGGTCCCCCCAGGGTTAGCATCAGCACCAGGAGAAATAGGACCAAAGTCTGGGGAACCCCACACGGGGGTCTGAAGGTGGATCTCCAGAAGAGAGACCTGAGCCTCAGAACCCCAAAAGCCCCCTCAATCAGGAAGAAGAGGAGGTGGGCCAGGGCAGAAAGACCCCACAACCGGGAAGAAGAGGAGGGCCAGGGCAGAGGCTTGAGCTGTTTCCCAGGCACCAGGCATCCTGCGATGGGCGGGTCACTGTACTCCTGGGAGGAGCCCTCCCCAGCGTCCCCAGAGCTGCCAAGGTAACTGACCTGCTAGGCCATGGCCTCTCTCGGGAGTGGAAGCTGGAGTGGCGCCCCATCACAGAGCGCAGCCCCTATGGTGAGGTCTGAGCCCAGGAGCACAGACTGTTTTGCATGGGAGGTGGGGTGGGGACTACAGAGCTGGGATGGAGGTAAACTCGGGGCTACATATGGGGTGGTGAGAACGGAGGACCCAAAATAAGACGAAGAGACTGGACTGGGGGAAGGGAGGCCATGAGCTGCAGAGACACTGAGAGGGATATGTGGGGGGTCCTGGCATGCCTCACCGCTCTTCTGCCTGGTTTGCCTGAGTCTCCCCACCCATGTCCCCAGCCCTGGGTGACCATCTTGCAGCCATTTCCTTGGACTGTCCCATCATCTCCTCTGTCTCAGCCTAGCCGCGTCAAGGAAGGTAACTTTCCCGGCCGCTCACCCGTCTCCCCTCTGCCGCACATACGTGCCCCCCCCTCCTTGAGCTGGGTACGTCCTGTATCAGTGCTGTGGGGTGGAAGGGACGGGACTTTGTGCAGGCCGGGTGGGCCTGTTGGAACCTGTTTGCAGACCTGCTGGAGCTCATGATGCTGCAGAACGCACAAACGCACCAGCTGCTGCTGGGTCAACTGGTAGCGGGAGCACTGAGCCCAGGGCCAGAGTGGCCTCACCCACAGGTGTGTGAAGGTGGGGCCCAGGGTGGAGCTCTATCTGGGGGTCCCCCACCTGGAGAAAAAAGACAGCGTAGAGTAGCAGCAGAACGCTAGCCACATCCCTGGCTGGCTGAGTGCCTTTGGCGTCTACCGCGTGCCAAGGCACGGTGTCAGCTTCTAATAGGAAGGGTGTTACCAAGTCTCCACTGCCACCCAGATGTTGTTTCCAAGGATTTCCTTCCCGACATTTCTCTGTGTAACTCAGGTCCCAGGAACCTGGTGCAGAGCTCTTTGTAGGGACTCAGCTGCTATTTGTCAAATGAACGGGTAAGGGAATGACTAGGTAGGGTGGGACAAGGCCTTGTGGAAATGTGGTATGTGTACACACCTGAGGACAGAGGGAGAGAGGGAGGGAGAGGAGAGTCCTTGGGGGACTGCAGGTGGCCTTAGGACAGGCTCTTGAGAACTGAGTAGGATTTTGACCCAGGATGGAGGACATGAGGGGTGTGAGGTCTCAGAAAGGAGGACCCAGTGGAAAGGGGGGCTCTAGGAGGCCTGGAGGGGTTCAAGGAGGGGCTCATTGGGGGAGTTTAGGGAGGTGGAGATCCTGAGTTAGGGCTGCTACCTCATATTCCCAGACCCTCTGAGGCCCTGAGGTGAGCATCTCTCCTCCTTGTGGGGCCCAGAAAGATGCAGAAAAAGGCAGATTTATAGGCTTCCAGTACCCACTCTGGAGATGCTGGGATTTTCCAGTCAGGCCCAGCACTACCTCTTGTTAGCTCTTACAGGAGTTGCTAACCCTCTTAGAGACTCAGTTCCCCTCTATGCAGAGTAATGGGGTGGGCATTATTGCCTGCACGCAGCGAAAGCTCACCGAACAGTAGCCTTTATGATAACTGCCTCTGTGCAGAAAGCAGTAAAGGAGATGGAGGAGGCGGAGCAGTGGGGGCAGGGAGGGCGGAGCCTGCGTCATCAACCCCCCTTTCACTTTGTGGACCCCCAGGTCTATACAGACAGCCAACAGGAGCAGGTGGAGGAAGAGATGGAGACGCAGGAGCAAGAACAAGAGCCTGTGGTGTTTCACCACCACTATTTGCCTTGTCCTGTGACCGTCTTGGGCCCCATGACACTCTGGCCAGCCTCTTTCCTCTCTGTTCCCCCACATCAGCCTCCCTGGCAGGGTGCACCCAGGATTCAGCACCAGCCCCCTGCCTCCAGGCAAGGGGATATGTGAGTGAGACTGGAGGGTTTGGACATGGCCAGGTCCCTGATCTAGGCTCAAAGAGCTGGCTTGGGGGATAAAGCCTCAAAAGCCACCCTGGCCTCTAACAGGGTCTTCTCTCTCTCTCTCATCTCAGGAGAGATGTGCCCCCACCCCCACCCCCCAGTGCCACAGGGACTGTTGGTGCAGATGTACCCCCAGCTTCAGGTAAGGGCTAGGTGGGTGAGTGGTGGGGCCTGGCCTGGGGCAAACTGAGATGTTAGAAGGGCCATGTGCCCTGCGGATGGGGGCTCCTGACAAGCACTGCCTTGTCCCATTCTGTGTTCCTCCTTGGGGTCCACCAAGGCAGGAAGGAGCAAGCTGAGGGTTCTGCCCCCCTAGACTACTACGATGCTGACAGCCTGCCATGAAGACAGATACTGGCCAGGCTTCACCAGCTTCTGCACAGGGCTGCCAACACTCCGGAGCGACTCTGTGCCCACGCCGGAGCCCTTCTTATCCACTCAAGCCCTCCACCCTGGGACATCAGGCTCTACTCCACTATCTTGAGCCAGCTGTCCTGGAGTGAAAACTCTTCAAAGTCCCTCACTGACCCAGAAGCCACACAAACACCATTAATCCACTGTCTGGTCCAGAGTAAGGCCCTGACACCAAAACCACACCCAGCTGGTCTTTGAACCTCTCTCCTCTCTGTGGTGTCACCCTTGGGCCTGCAACAGGGCAAGAGAGAAAAGGATGGTTCCTGTCTCCAAAGGCCTTAGGGCTCCTGGAGGGCAGCATGGGGGGTGGTGTGGGGAGAAGGCCAGCTGGGAGGCCCCTAGGGCAGACTCCACTTCCTTGAGCCTTCTTTTGCTGGATTCCGTTGGCAGAAAGGAGAGCCATAGCCCTGTCCTGACTCAACCAGGAACAATCTGAGATTCCCAGGGCCATGTGCAAACAGATGTCTGGGTAGACGTCTGGGGCCTGGCCTGCAGAGGTTCTGAAAAATTCTGGGGAAGAGCAGGGAGGTGGGGAGTACCGAAGAGACACGGGGTGAGCAGGTGACACTTAGTACCTTCCTTGTCACAGGTGTCTGTTATCCCAGGAGCAGACATGGAGGGCACAGGGTGAAATCCAGGTATTTGTATTGAGGCTAAAAAAGGAAATGTCCCTAGAGTCTTGTGCCGCTGCCACAGTCCATCAGCTAGACCACACCCTGAAGGCACCAAGTCGAGTTCCAGCAGCCACCAGGGGCCTGGCAACATCAGCTCACATGGCACGTTGCCGAAAGGCTCGGGGCAGCCTCCTCCAGGCAGCTAGAACCCCATAGGTGCCTGTCCGCCTCCTGTGCCAGTGCTGACCGAGGATAAAGCAGAGCAGGACGGATGTCACAAATAAGAACAGCAGTAGTGACACCACTACGATTATGATGACCATCTGGTTGTCCTGAATAGGCTCTGGGGAGGAAGAGGCAATAGAGTTAGAGATCTGCAGATGCCAGGCACCCAGGGAGTCTGCCCATTACCCCTTGCCCACTGTGCATTCCACAGTCAGCCTGGTAGCAGAGAGCAGTGGCTTAAGGCGTCTGCCCCCAGTGTGACTAGTAAGAGGAAGGTAGACTGCTCTCTAGGCCATAACGCAGAGCAGACACCCTTCCTCCAGCAGCTCTTGAGACCAGTCTATAGAGTCTGAACTCCATGCTGTTGTGGAATATCAGCTGAAGATGTGTTACATGGGTTTGTGCTACAGGTCATTTGTTTAATGATGCAAAGATGTGTTGCATTCTTTTTTTTTTTAAAGATTTTATTTATTTATTATGTCTTCTGCCTGTGTGCCAGCAGAGGGTACCAGATCTCATTCAAGCGGTTGTGAGCCACCATGTGGTTGCTGGGAATTGAACTCAGGTCCTCTGGAAGAACAGTCAGTGCCCTTAACTGCTGAGCCATCTCTCCGGCCCCATGTTGCATTCTTTCATGCTGCATTTGTTTAACTCTGTGAAGCTGGGTTACTTTACCTGTCTAAAACACCTGATTGGTCTAATTAAGAGCTGAACGGCTAATAACAAGGCAGGAGAAAGGATGGGCAGGGCTGGCAGGCAGAGAGTATAAATAGAAGGAGAAAAAGAAAAACAGGAGGGGGGCTGGAGAGATGGCTCAGCAGTTAAAGGCACTGACTGTTCTTCCAGAGGACCTGGGTTCAAATCCCAGCATCCACTTGCAACTCAACATTAACTCCAAGATCTGACACTCTCACATAGATGTACTTGCAGGCAAAACACTAATGCATACAAAATAAAAGCAAATAAATATTTTTTAAAAAGCTGACTAGATTATTTGGGAGCTGGGTGGCAGGCCCCCCAAAGAGAAAAGAGTAAAAAACAAAAACAATAAAACAACACCATGGCCCAGAGAATGTCATGGTCAGATTTATACAAGGTCCCTTCTCAGGCAGAGCTGAGTGAGCTGCAAACAAGCTCATTTACAACAGGCTTTGGCCACCAAGAATCACAGAGCTGCTGCGTGCTCTGGAGAACCTGTGGGTCAGGCCAGCCAATCTTCTCATTGTAGAAAGGGACCATAGCTAGAGAGAGCTTACTACCATGGTCAAGGCTACACAATGCTCAACAACGGCCCAACATAGTTCCATCCTGAGAATTCAGGATGGAACAGTTGAGTTCTCCTGGCTTCTGGAAAAGTTAGTGTTCAGTTTGGAACTGGGAAAGAGAGTCTCAGGATTCTACATGCACATCAAACCATCTAAGAGTTTTCTCTTCTGAGGGTTTTCTTTCCCCACGGTGCCAAGAAGGACATTCGCCTCTGCCCCTCTCAGCCCAGAGTCTCCTTACCGAAGACTTCGAGGATCTGGGACTCTGAGATGCTGCGGATGATGTACCCGCCATGGGGCCGCAGGTCCAGCTCAGCCTGGCAGGAGAAGTTGAGGTCATCCTTCGTTAAAGCTGTGCTGTTGAATCTGACCGTGGCCTCAAGTTCAGTTCCCTCAAATGTCTGGTTCTGCAGGGTCTCTCTACCACGGAGGAGAGTGAGCGTGAGGCTCTCAAGGGGCTTCACAGCCAATGTCGTGCACTCAATGGTGAAGGTTTCACCCACAATTACCCGAGGGGGCTGCAGCCTCAGTGTGACCTGAGCTGGAGGTTCTGTAGGAGACAAAGGAGGAAGGCCACTCAGGATGAAACTATGTCCCTGCAGACCCAGCCTGGCCAGGGCCCATCTCCTGGTATCCCAGGTTCCTAGCTGGACCTGAGACAGGAAGTGAGCTGGGGCTTGGCCTGCTCATTGGAAGGAGGAGGAGACTGGAGGTTCTGTAGGAGACAAAGGAGGCAGGAAACTCAGGATGAAACTATGTCCCTGCAGACCCAGCCTGGCCAGGGCCCATCTCCTGGTATCCCAGGTTCCTAGCTGGACCTGAGACAGGAAGTGAGCTGGGGCTTGGCCTGCTCATTGGAAGGGGGGGGAGCAGGAGGAGGAAGAGGAGGAGGAGGAGGAGGAAGAGGAAGAGGAGGAGGAGGAAATGTATCATGGAGGATGTCCTGGATGTTAATTCTGTGGGCATGATTTAGAAAATGGAAAGGGGGTCTACAAAGAGGAGAAACAGAGATCATAGACCCAACTAGAAGGATATAAAAAAAAAAAATCTGGACCCATCTCCATCCCCTCCAGATACTAAGCACAAATTTTCAATTTAAACAGCTGGGTGGCTGTGCTTGTGAGCACTTGGAAGGGAGCACCTATGCACTATGCACGTGGGCCCCGAGGAGCTAACTGAGCCTCCTCATGAAGCTGGGGCATGAGTCAGGTTTGTCTCACTTCTCCAGTCAGGTTCAAGACCAATGCAATTCCAGATCACTGAATAAGGACTATGGGGGTACCCTGGTTCCCTTTTAAACTACTCCACTCAACCCCACCCTACCTAGACTTAGAACATCTTTTTTTTTGATGCATCAATGTTGGTAATGGGTTGCAGTGAAACACCTGGAGCTAAGATGCTGAGCGAACCCTGGCTTATCCTGGCAGGTGTGTATACGGTGCCCACACGTGGTGCCCACACGTTTGCCACGGTCCTCAGGGGATGACGAACACTGCGTGGCACCTCCACTTCCTCTCACTGTGTGTGGTGCCTGTGCAGTGCTCTGGTGGCTGAACTGGGGTGGCTGAACTGGGGTGGCTGACTTTTCCACCTGTGCAAACCTTGGCTGGACTGACCTTCTTAGAGCAAGATTCAAAACCTGCTCGGTCTGCTTCTGGGGTGTGGGAGGGCTCATGGAGTCCAACCAAGGGTGTAAGCAGAGCCTGAGCCCTCCAGCCTGACCTGCTTGTGGCTCAGGAGCCCGGGGAGGTGTGGACCAGGCACAGACACTCACGGAATACTGTGATGTTGAGATCCTCTGAGCGCTGCTGCTCCGCACAGGTGAAATGGCAGATGAGTTTCATGTCGTGGGACGCGTTTGAAACCAAGAACTGTTTCCACTTCCCTTGAGGGTGCTCTTCCAACATCATCTTGCTCATGGTGGTCTCCAGGCCACCCACTTTCGGATTGTCACAGCTTGTGCTACAGTTCACTTTCCAAGACTCCCAGGCTTCTACGACGTGCTTCTCTGACCATATGTAGACCTCAAAGGCCTTCTCACCAGACCCTGTAAGACCAAAAGCACCAGGCAGCAGGGGTAGTCTTTGACGCCTGCCTGCCCTGGGGGTCTCTATTACCAGCAGTTGTAATTAAGGCTCAAGAAGACAGGTCACCTTTGGTCCCTCGCCCCATCCCCAGGCCAGGCCTATAGAGGCCAGCACCCCGTAACGCCCTGTGACCTTTCCTCTAGTCCCTCTGTCTGTCAGCACTAGGTCAATCTTCCTCACGCCTATCTCTGGCTGTCTTAAGCTCCAGTTCAAAGTTTCCTCTGTCACAAAGACACCTCTGAGAATGGACGGAAGCTCTGAGCTCACACAACCACAGAGAACTGCCAGGGTGCCTTTTGGGTAGTGGTAAGCTCCAGGGATAGGGAGGGGAGGGAGGGGAGGGAGGGGAAGGAGGGGAGGGA